TGAATACACAATGATTTACCATCAACTGAGATGATTAAACATATGCCAGGAATGAAAAATTCGATGACACCAAAAACTGAAAGGGTCAAGGGGCCAAAAGGAACATGTACATAATCATTAAATACGGATTTTCATTTTTATCTTTAACGAAAAAACAGCAAGGGTCAATAAAAAAAAATATACAAAATATATATATATATATATATATATCCTATAGGAGATAATGCTACCCTTGGGAGAAAGAAGAAAAGGAAAAAAAGAAAAGAAACTTATGCTATAGTGCCTACTAATTACTGATAGACCTACACTGAGCAAAGTGATTAAAGAGTTAATGAAGGTGAACAAAGAAAAGCCCAAAAATAGTCCTTATATTAAAATTCAGAAGTTATAAGAGTTGTCAGAAGATAAATTCAAGAAGACACTGACAACTTTATAATTTTGCCAGATTTTTCAAAACTAGGGATGAGTGACAATGGGAAGTTATTAAATTCTATTCCCATTATCTAGCACTATATTATACTTAAGCATTGTGTTACAAATTTACCAACTTTTAGTAATCCCAAATTATATACTCCGTGTAAGGAATTATTTATTTTATATATGAAACAAAATCATCTAACTCATTTACATAATGTAAAAAGTCAACAAAAAATTCAAGTCTTTTTGAAATTTTGGAGAATATAATTAAGATGTTAACATGTTTAGTATGAATAGAATTCCACAAATTTGGGTTGTAAACAGTATTATGATACTGAACCGACATACAATTTCAGCATCTAGCTAGTTTTCATCTAAGTAGCACACATTAGGATTCATTATATGAAATAAGAGAGAAAAGAGCCTAACTGATACAATGTTTTTTTTTTTCTCTCCTGCAGTATAGGATAGTCCCACTTTTCCCCGTTATAACTAAGTCTTAATCACAGTTGTTATAGTTTCATTGTATGTGTGAGTTCCCTCAAAATGAATAAAATGATACAATCTTGACATTTGATGTTTCATCCTATTTGAAAAATGATTTTTTTTGGCAATTCTATTGGTATGGAAAACACAATACCAAGGGGCCATTGCCTAGTGCAGTGCTAAAATGCTCGGACTGTCAAGCGTGAAAACTTTCAAGTGAGACCAGCCACTTTGTGCAAATTAACGTCTAAGTTTAGTTTTGTATCCAGTGCGTCTCTCCCATGATTGATGGGGATCATACTGGGTCAATATGCTAAATTCATTGTGGTCCATGTTTCTTTGTCTTATAGACTTATACTACTTCAACCCAATAAATACAATGACTTTCCAAATCAATCTCTCACACTTCTTTCTTATTATTAATGAGACAGTTGACAATTATCATGGCGGCCCCTGGTTTTTCTTCAACTTGTTCTGCTAATGCTTGACTAATGCAGACAACAAAACTTTTTTTTTTCTTCTTTGTTTAGGACTTTCATGTCTGTAGATGACTTCTCAACCAAATAGCATCATAATGGAAGTTTCATCAGAGCCAATTCTTAACTGCTTGTAGACTAACATCTTCCTAGTCTAGATAAGCTACTCGTAGATTGTCAACGTCCTAGTCTGCAAATACCTTTTAGTTATGCAGCATTGTCATAAAATGCCCAAAGGACTGATAATTAAGCACATCTAATCGTTTCCATTGTAAACTAACCTTGTGAAGCAAGGTATACATGTTTTCTCAGAAACACTTAAGCACCATAGCTGACCAATTTTGCACACAAAAAGTATTTCAATTTTCACCCTTTTTCTTCTTACCATCCTCGTATGATTACCTTTTCCTACATTTGGATATGATATATTGTTACCTACAGAGGAGGTTGAATGCTCTAACGTTCTCTTTTGTAGTCTAAATTCATAATTCATGTATTGTTTATCTAAAATAAATTAAAGATGAAATGCACAATGTATAGAAGTGTATCCCAAGAAGTCACACAGCCCAATACAACATCAATAATTTAAGCTGAAAGTAAAGAACAAATTAAAAAAAAAAATCGCCAGCATTGCTATGGTACAATATGTAATTAATGCAAGGATCTAACACCGAACCATAAGAGCAAAATATCAATTGAGTCCACAGGTAGTGTTGTCTTCTTGATTCTACATCTCTACTGTATATAGCATCATTTTCATATTTTGACATCTTGTAATCACAATAAACTGAAATCTCTACTGTACAAACAATATCACAACTATCTCTGAAAAAATCGGCACAGGAGTTATGTTTCTTGATTCTAAATATATGTATAATACACACACACACACACACACACACATGTATAAGTGACCGGTGTCTACACCTGAGCCAATGCACAAGGAAAACACCTTGAAGCTATGTAAGAAGGCAGTCTGGAGACTGTCCATTCACTGTTGAGACTCGCCATAGGAGAAGACTCAAGACAGGCATAACCTTTGACATTATTTTGTACACAGTGACTGCTTTAACACCTCTTACTTTTAGTGCTGACTAAAAAACTTTTGTTTCTAATCTTATTTAATGATCAAATTAGAAGAAACAGTTACATGTAATGGAAGTGGGTTAAATCCACTCTTGAAAATGGTGCTTTCATTGCTATATCTTGTAATTGAAAACACAAAGCCATTATAATATGTGCCTTATTCAAGATGGCATCTGAGAATTAATATTATTATAAGGAAAATGCTTCTTGTGCTGATCACCGACAACCAGGCCCAGTAGATCCGGTTGGCACATGTAGCATGGTTCAAATTAAATTAGTTGTTGTGTATGTTTACATTTTTCCCTTCATTACACATTTTACAATATTATGTGTGCAACTCGAGAAATTAGTCAGTTATACTCAAGATCCTATTGCACTTCCAACGTGCAAATTTCACATATACAAACAACATTTTTCATACCTAAGGTTTTAGTAATGAAAAACATTTTTAACTGTTAACTCACTTGCCTAGGGAGAGTCCTATTGCCTAGTTAGAGCCCAAATACCTCTACTTAAGGTTTCTTGTAAATTGTAATGACCTGAAATGGCTAGTTCCTGGGTGAGCAAAGGTTAGAACATAATTTGGCATAAAGTAGATGTTTCATAATACTTGCATCCAATCAATTAAGTCTGCTTTGCCCTGCTATGACCTTAATATAATTTGACCAAAGATACTTAGTCTGGTTACTTTTAACTTCGGTTTGAGCATGTTTATGCTAGTGGCCATTGCAACTGTGGGTGCCAACATGCTGGAAACTATGGCCAGCGAAGAGACTCTCAACTCATGCACTGAGAGATATGGTTGGTATAACCTAGCACTATAGGCCAAACTAACAATTCATTTTAGAGCAGTAATTCAGGGTTCTGAATGTAGTGTAGAAAAGGTACTAGCTCTAAAGCATAGGTTAACATGGCATGGGAAGGTCTTTTTCTAACTTATGAAAAAAAAAATCATTCCCTAAACCTGGGGGAAAAAAGAATTTCTTCAAGCAAGCTGCAATTCCAATGATATTTAGCTATATGGGCATAAGAAGGGGCTTCCCGCCCAGTTTAATGGCTATTGGCCTATTGATAGGGTTCACATCAGTCATTTCCAACATCAAAATGGCTCATGATCACTACTATCAAGTTTGGGACCGAGGAATCAGAAACTTCTGTTACAGAAATCTCTATTAGCATGGAATTAGGAGGAACTAGAATCAGAATCATTACCAGAATGTATGATGTAATTGTGTTAATAGAAACAACTAGTAGAGTCGCAGTCACAAGTCAAAATTTCTAATGGTGAAACACAGCCACAAGACTTCCTTCCTTGCTTATTCATGTGCTTTGGTTTCAAGCAACAGGAAAAGAGAATACCACTACCAAGATATGGGACAATAGTGTTTCGTGGAAAAAGCCAATGAAAGAGTAATGTAATTCCAGTTGGCTTTAGCGTGTCCCAATTGCAGGAATAGAACAATATTGGAATGTGATTCCAACTTTAACAATGATCCCATTAAAGGAAGCATTGCATAAGAGTATGAAGATAATAAGGATACTTGTAGTTGGGAAATGGCATTTGTAAAGGATAACTGTACCTTCAGCCTAGGAAACCTAACCAAAAGGGATTTTCCTTTCAATGTGACAGAACATCCATGTCACTAGCAATAAGATACTATAAGGTGGATTGAGGTAAATTATGAATCATATAATATGCCACAATCCTGTCAGGAGCCATCCTAAAAGAAACCACCGGGAGACCTTGCCAGATGCCACTCAAGGAAGATAGAATTATTATTAGTTCCTGTGGTTGAATGCATAGCAGTAAGAGCTGGTTTTCTCATATCATTGGCTTTAAGGGGAAATCCAAAATGTTATCACTATCTTGATGCCCAACCTGCGCCAACCAGGCCGGATCAAAGCGAAACTGATGATACTATCTTGATGCATAGATCGGATCGCAACTTTGAGTATGGAATTCAAAAGGACCAAATAGGAAAGGATATTTTGAATCATTGACATATAAATAAATATATATTTTTCACAAATGGTGTTGTATTATATAAAGATAATGAGATTATTAGATAATGTATAACATTAAACCAACATTTATTGAATTTGAAAAGGTCCCTAGTCAATCCTAAAAGATAGTTTTGATATTATAATTGGAAAAGGGGGATGCAAACCAGAATGGAACACAGTCACCTGGGCAAACAAAGCTACACAATCTAATCAAGCTTTGGTTTCAGGTAAAGGATTCTCATTCAGTCACATAATCTTCCTAAAATTATTTAAAATGACTTAAGTCATGAAGTTCTGGAAACATCAACAGTCAACACCAAAGCTCTTTGTGTTAGTTCCTTGGCTGGAGCTTTCTCCTCTTATAGTTCAAAAACAAAAACAAAAACAAAAAAGAAGAGAGGGGGAGGACAAAAGGTCAATAATTTCTGAAGAAATGAATGTTAAAAAGTATATCATGAAGTGTATGCTAATTTAAGTTTTGTTTCAATAGATCAAATATGCTATGATAACGAACATAATATCACTTGCATTAACTTCAAAATATATAGAAATAAGCCATCAGTAGGTGTCCAATGGTATTGCAGGAGTGCAATCTAGAAGCTTTTTTATTATTGTTTTTAAATTATCAAATGACAATGTCATGTAACAATCTTTTATGAAGGAATGCCAATACATGAATGGGTATCTCTCCTACCGCATAGCGCTACAAATTTATCCCTAAACACCAACAAAGGACATTTTTCAATCAAATTTGTCCCGTCATAAGATTCCTTCAAGAATACAGTACTTCTTGCACCTTTATTAGTGATGTAAAAAATACCATGATACTTGATTAAACAAAGCAATAGTCTAGCTGGTAACCTGAACTCCATATGAAATGCCCCGAGCTGGGCAGATGTCATCCTCTTCTCCATAGTCAAACTTAGGAGCTCATGCAGCACTGCCACCATTCGTTTCCGAGCCTTTGGATCGGCAGCTTCGAATCTCCTTGCATTCAAGTATGGAGAAGGGCATTCCAATTTCTGCCACCTCCGAACTTCTTCAAGGTAACTCATATTTGGTCTAAAACCAGCAGGAAAAGTCAAGCGAAATGCAAATGGACCTGAAAAGTTACCATCTTTCGAGATTCTTGTCCTCTTTGAATACCCACTGGAGTTCAATATCCCCTCACGCGCCAACCTTTCCTCGCGTGCAGTTATTGCTAGACTTGAATCCCAATTTTCCAAATGAAGATGAGCCCTCCCATTGACATCTCTCACTGAAAAATATTCTGGGTACTTGGGAATCAATGTATCCTTGAAGTCGCTTGGCAGACCCAATTCAGACTGAACTAGTTCAATGGTTTCTAGCGGAACCCGACATTCAACTGACATCATTAGCAACTTCCTTAGGTTCTTAACTAAAATGGGTTCCATTTGGTTTCTAGCATCAACTTCTTCTGCTGCAATCTTTTTGGCTTTTTCTGTAAGCAATACAGTAGGTGGCATTCTGTTACCACCACTGACATGAAAAATTGTAGGGTACTTCTCAATTACAGCCATGAAATTCCATTTCTGAACGAAGCCAACTTCTTTTTCAAGATCTCTGAGGGGAAGAGATTGGCTTTTCTGGGACTGAATGATGGATTTTAGCTGTAGAATCAAAGATGGTTTCTTCTGGAGGTCCATGACTCTGTCAAGTTCGTGCACTCTGTAATAGGTCTTCTTCTTGGGTCTCCTTCCTCCACTGGTTTTGTGCATGATTGGAACCCACATGTAACCTGATTTTTTAAATGGGGATGGAGAAAAGACTTCACAGGTGTTGCTTTTATCAAGAAGAGAAGACTCAAAAGATTGGTGTAATCGCAAGAACATTGAACCTCGATGCATCTTTGTGGGAAAGTCTGTGAGACCAAGAGTCAAACTGTTGGAGTGCAGACTCCCGCATACAACTTTTGCAACTAAGCAAGATCAATGTTTTCAGAAGCAACCTCAAGCAGTGCAGCTTTGGTGGATGATGCTCACTCGTGCTATCTGGCGATTACGGTCTCAGTCTTGCTACGCTATCCCTATTGACACCAACAGAGAGGAATCCAACTGCCCAACAAAACATAAATGACACCCAATAGCATGAAAAATCCTTCCTCTTTTTTCTTTTTTCTTTTTCTCTCTCTCTCTAGAGAACTGAGAACACTTAGAATCATAAAGATTTGTTATAGCAAGTCAAAAAGACCTAAATCAAACAAGTCCCTAATCCCCATGGCCCTTCCATTTTTCTTATGCTCATTCTTCCCTCAGAATGGTTATTGTACAGGATACAGCTGGCTGCCCCACAACATAGCACTCATTGAAAAATAGTTGAGAGGAAAAATAATTCATATCAATGATGACAATCTAAACTTATTTTGTGTTTATTGTTTGGTATTAGCTTCTTCCTACACAAATAATTAACAGATGAATAGCTTCATAATGACAGAGAGAGAGAGAGAGTGAGTGAACAAACAGCCACAAGAAGAGACTAAAATCATCATTTGATTTCATTAACTAAGAATAAACTTGGACAATTCAATACCATACTGAGACAAAATCACAGAAATTTAAGCTGTAAATAATATTGGGTTTCAGGTAAAAAAGCTAAATAAACTATTCATCCCAATTTCCAATAGAAAATATGATGAATCAATAATGTAAAGAATGAATCAAAACATAAACAAAGAAGAAAGAAGCTCAATGACATACCTTAAATTTTCGATCGAATATTCTGAAATTTGAAGACCAAGAAAAAGAGGCCGTGAGAGAGAGAGAGGAAACACCACACTAGCAAAAACCTCAAAATGAGAGCAGGGAAGACGGAGTGAGCGCAGAGCTCTACAGCGTAAAATGACTTGCACCGAATTTAGGCCGATAGGTCTTTCTCTTTTTCTTTTTCTTTTTTCCTTCCATTTTATTTTTTTATTTACGTAGTACTATTTATTAATTTTTTGGCAAGCAAGTAAAAAATTAAAAATTACTCCTAAAAAGACCACCACTCCCCGATCCTCTCCGGCCCAACGGTGTCCAGTTTCCTCCATATTTATTTTATACACAATTTGTGTGTGTGTGTGTGTGTGTGACTGAGTGTGTGTAGACACACACACAATTGACAAATACAAATTTCTTTTCAAATAACAAATTCCGCCCCCCTTTCTTTTCTCCCAAATTATCCCTTCAATCTTTGTTCTCTCCCATTATTCTCCCCAAATAGAAGCCTTTATTCTCTTCCCAAATTTTCATGGTTCAATTTGTTTCCAAATAGAAGCAGTGTTTCTTTTGTGCCAAAATATTCAGGTTTTGATTCATTTTCAAATAGAAGCATGAGTATATTTCTCACCTGTCCCCAAATAGAAGCAGGACTCTATTTCCAAATAGAAGCATGACTTTATTTCTTCGTATAGTGGGTCTCCTTCTCTTTCTTCGTATACTAGGTCATTTTATTCCAAATTAACAAAGCAACATCGCCCAGGAAATAAACATATTTTGATTTGTTCAGAAACAATTAGAGGATTTCAATTGATCCTCTCCGGAGAATTAGATGGTCTTCCTGAATAGGTCTTTTATTTGGTAGGTAACTGTAATGATCCTCATTTTTATCATTTTTCATTTTTTGGAAATTTTTTTAATTTTTTGGATTATTTTCGTCTTGTCTCGTTTTGGGTGTCGAACACCGTAGGGTGTGCTGGGTGTGTTTGAGAGTTGATTGGGGCATTTTCTTGAGTTCAGGACTCTTGGAAATGCATTGGTTGTCATTTCGGCATTTTTTCGTTTTTCGAGCCCGGAGGTCCTAGGTAGGACCTGCTACCGGAGTTGTTGTGTACAGGAGTTGTGTTACCGGTTCATTGCATTTTTTTTTTTTTTTTTTTTTTTTTTTTCATGGTGGTATGTTAAAGTGTGTGGTTGTGATTTGTAATACCCCTAATTTCAAAAGGATTGTCCTGGTATTTAATTTATTATTTAATTTGCATTTTTAATTGTTTAAGTGCGTATGTGTTTATTTAATAGTTTAATTGCTTATTATTTTAACTAATTGGGTTTTAATTAGTATTTAATTTATTGTTTAAGTTGCATTTTTAATTATTTAAGTGCATATGCGTTTATTTAATAGTTTAATTGACTTAATTGTAATTGTGAATTAATTGTTTTCTTTAAATAGTATTACTTGTTTCTGTAAATAGAAATTATTGTTTTGTAGAAATTATTGTTTCCTGCAATTGAATTAATCGTAATATGGTTTAGTTAAGTATTAATTAATTTACTATACTGGTTTAAATTGTGAATTACGTTAGTGGGATTTCCTTAGGGTTTCTGTATTAACTTAGCAGACTTAGTCTCTGTATTATATCACACTTAGGGTTAGGTTTAAGGGTGGCTTATAAATACATCTTTAGGGGTCTGCCTAGGGTTTTAGAACCATATACACGATATAGTAAAGGCAGAGAGAAGTTTGGAGAAGTCTGGGAAGAAACAGAGAGGGCAAACAGAGTGTTCGCCGAAGAATTGAGAAAGACGTCGGTGTAAGGCAAGTTCTATCCTTTACTCTCTCCCTTAGGCTTCGTGTTCTTTGCATTCCTAAATAGTTCCAGGATTAATTGAATGTTAAAAACGTTCTCTGTTCGTGCTAAAATTGAAATATATCAGTATGTGTTGTATACTTGTTAAACTGTTAAAACGTGAAGATTACTTGCATAATTCTCTATTTAAATCCATGTTAGTGAAGTAATAAGGACTTAAACACGGACTGGGAACATACTGGGGTTTGGTTACAACTTTTGGGAGCCATGGCAGTGAGGTATCAGAGGTGTAAACAGGGTCGGAAACGGAGAAGACGAGGCAGAGAGGGAGAGAGCCAACTCTCCCTTGAAGAGAGTCGGCTCCCTTTGATTGGGAGGCGGCTCCCAAGGTGTAGGAGCCAGCTCCAAGGCCATAGGAGCCGGCTCCACACTTGTTGGAACAGGCTCCTTGCAACAGTTTTATTTATTTTTTTTGTTTTCCTGTGAGTTTGGTCTACAGTGGATAGTTTTCTGTGGTTTCAGTTATGTTTAGGACTGTATGTGGGAACTTTATATGAGGCTTATGGTTGTATTAAGGCTCCAGGAGTAATACTAATAAACTAATTACTTGAGTAGCTTGGACAGTATATGATTTAAACAAGTTAGTACACTGTCTTTAGAGTTGGAAGAATTAAATTGTTTAATCCTTTGTGTTAACAATTTTTCTGTGACAGATAATATAATTGAAACTTATATCACCATATATCATGATCATGTATTTCAATTATGCTCTTTGAGGATGAGTTGATATTGAATGGTATTATGATTTAAATTTTTCACTTTACCGGATTTAATGGAGCAGTATAAACTGAGTATATTTATGTATATAATTTGACTGTGCATATTGATGCTTACATTATTATTATTAGTATCAGTGTATGCATGGATTAGTTGATGTTTACCCTAATTGTCTGTATTATCAACTGCTGGATGGTTGGATAGTATACACCGGTATGGGACGGTGGCATACTAGGGATGGTTTGGTTTCAAAATACCAAAACCTACCTACTCTGGAATACGGTATGGATTAATTACATAAATTAAGTACTACCTATGTTTATGTCAATTCACTAAACAGTTGAATGACACTTGGTTTCGAATGGATTTTCAATATATTATTATGGTACCACGATATGAGCATGAGTCTCAGAGTCGATGGTTAGGGAGCATATATGCATAGAGATGCATAACTGGCTATGATGGTTTAATGTATACCCTGCTAGGTCTAGGTACTCGTGCCCACTTCAAGTCCGTTTTGCATGATGCCTACTAGTCAGGTTAAGACAGGCCTGTAGTACAGTGAGAGTCCTGTAGTGTGAATATATATATATATATATATATATATATATATATATATATATATATCTACAGACTATATAGCTATTGCTGAATTGTTTAGGATGTGCATACGTATCGGGTCTCTGCTTGGATTGTAGTAGTATAGAACTTGCACGTGGACCTGATCCAATTCTATTTTTCAAGTACTCGTCAGTTTCAGACTTAGACCTGGTCGTGCTGAGCAGAGACTACTACTCACTCTTTCGACGTTGTAGGACTTCTCTCTATGGTTTCATTTTGGATATTCTTTTGATTATTTATACTTCAGTTTAGATTTTCGTATTAGAGGTCCAATGGATTGATTCCCGAGTTGTTTAACTATTGGAGGTTTTGGAATTTTAAGTATTTAATTTTTAAAGGATTTTATTTTTAGAATTCATTCAGCTTTTATTTATTTCTTATTTCAATTTATAATCTGTGTTCGTTTAAAATACTTTAATTGTTTGGCATTCCCTCGGGTTCGGGCCTGGGCCTGATCAACCTGTGTCTCGGATCCGAGGGGTATCACATGATTTGATTTATATATATATATATATATATATATATATATATATATATATATACACATGGCCTCCTGTTACATCCTTATCTCCAAGGAATCCAAAGCTCCCCAAGGCTCCTTCGATGCCCTATAAATAACAGCTCCTCTAGACATTGGAGGCAGGCTCATTTTCAAGTTTAGATTTTAGTTTCCGTTTCAAAAGTTCTCAGTTCAAATTGTAATTTTTAAGTTTAAGTTTTTAGTTTTACTTCATCCAAGGAGCTCGGCTCAGAACAAAAGTGTTGTATTCAAAAATCAAAGTTGTAAGTTCTATATTTTAATCAAAGTTCTTCAAAGTTATTCATGTTCTGTTGTTAACTTGCATATTTCCATATATATATATATTTCATTGATTATTTAACCTTTTCAATATCCTGTTTCTCTTATAGTTCATTATCAGTTATTCATCCTGGGTGTTTATGGTATCAGAGCCATCTGGTAGTGATTAAGCCCATTTAACCTTTCTTCATTTCTGTTTCCGGACGTGGATCCCGTTTAGGCTAGGTGTGCCGCTTTGGGTTGGTCAGACGGACGGTCATTTAGGTAAGGTTCAATGAGTTTTTTCAACCGTAGCATGTCTTCGACACCGTCAGCTCCTCTTGGAGGAAGAGTGATAGTTAACCAAGAAGAACAGCATATTGATAGTGGTCAGAATGACCAGTGGGATACTTGGAATATACCCAAGGTTCCCATTAGGGATATTTACAAATCTTCGACTTTCAATCTCAAAATAGGATACTCCATCAAAACTGTTGAACAAACTATTTCTCTCAAAAACCCTTTTGAAGTTATCCAACTTTTGCAAAAAAGAGCCATAGTTGAACACAAAAAGAAGTACAAATTCCTACATATAGGGCTTGTCCAAGTTGCAGTTAAACCTCTTACATCAAGAGGACTTAACACTGCTATCATGCTTACCCTAAGGGATTGTAGGCATCTCGATTTTGAAACCTCTCTGTTAGGAGTTTGCCAAACTAGTCTTTTTGATGGCCCACAATACTTCAATTGTTTTCCAAATTATTCAGTAGCTCTTGATGATCCAACAATCCTCCATACTTTAACCCTCAATGTTTCAAGTAGTGGTTACAAAATGATGGATGGAGCCATACCCTTCAATGTTGTCTATAGAATCCACTACAAAGTCTATACAACCCAAGTCAGCCCCCATGCTCTTCGTGAGTCTCCCAAATGAGAAATCCTTCTTCTTCATGCTAGTGACGAAAATTCACAAACTTATGTTCCGAGGACCATCACTTGGAATGAAGTCACCTTCCCAACAGAGTGGACTCTCGAACATGCAGCCCCTCCTTCAAAGATCGAGCATAAAAGGTTGGAACAAATATCTCAATTTGCTGATGGCACGGTAAAGGTTAGATTTAACTCCAACAGGCCCAATAGACTTACTATCCAAGAAATAGAAAGATCTAGACCTTTTATCCAAGAAATAGAAAGTTCTAAATCCTCTTTCTCTCATGCTACTGCCTCAAACTATTCAAAAGCCCCTTCCCGAAAATCATTTTCAGGAATGCCTACAAGGTATCCAAACCTCGTTGGTGTCAAAAACAAAGAAGTTGCTGACCCGGTTTACCAGGACAATGTTAGCATACAGACTGAG